TCAGGAAAAGTGCACCAATATGTCCACCAAAAGAAAAATACAAGAATATCAACAGCAAAAAATGGAATATTTCCTAAAAGTTCATTAATAGAAACACATGAATAGATGGTGTACATTTGCACAGTGGAATTCTTGTGTGTAGAGCAAGGAGAATAAGCATACTCTAACTCCATGCATCGTGATAGATGTATTTCAAATACATATTCAACATAAAAGCCAGATACAAGAATACATATACCATCATTTCATTTTTATAAAGTTCAAAACAGGAAAATCTATAGTTTTTGAAATCAAGAAAGTGACCATATTTTAGAGATAGTGACTAGAATAGGTTCCAGGGAGGCTTCGGGAGAAACCTTTGGTTTCTCGATTTGGGTGCTAAGTACAAGGATGCACTCAGTTTGTGAAAATAGTTCCAGATGCACATTTATGACTTGGGCATTTTTCTATATGAATTTTCTACTTTAGTGAAAGAAATTAAAAGATGGTATTTGAGGAATTAATATTCTTTATTCAGTAAGGTGACAATAGAAGCTGTTGTTTTTAGCTGAAGAATCACACAATTCTATTAAAATCAGAAAGATTGGATCAAGTGGTAAGACAAAAGAATTGAAAATGAAAGAGAAAATTGACCCGAACTTATATAGTTGTAGTACTGGGAAAACAGACAAGGAGACAGAAGTGATAAAAGTACTGGAGATGAAATGGACCAACTTTCTGTCTGCCTAACAGAATCAGATACATGAAGAAAGGGAAAAATTTTTTTAAAGAGATTCAGGACTGGGTGGCAGGCAGTTCTACTGAGACACACAAAAATCAAGAGGGTAAAGGATTTGGCAAATGTTGGCCAACTACAGTCAAATCTGGTCCATCAACTATTTTTGTACAACCCATGAGCTAAGAATGTTTTTTACATTTTTAAGTGGTTGAAAAAAAATCAGAATAGGTGTAATCAGAATAATACTTAAGACACATGAAAATTATATGAAATTGAAATTTCAATGTCCATACAAATTTTTTTGGAATACAACCACACTCCTTTGTTTGCATGATGTCTATGGATGCTCTCGTATTATAAGAGCAGCAGAATTGAGTATTGTCGTAGAGTGCTATGGTATGGCCTGCAAAGCAGAAATTATTTACTACCTTGCCCTTTACAAAAATTTCTGCCAACCCCTGCTTTAGAGTTAAAATTATAAATTATATATATGTCATATTATATTTAAGTGTGTGTGTAGATATTAAGATAGATAGATGATAGATAGGTAGATAGATAGATAGATGATAGATAGATAGATAGATAGATAGATAGATAGATAGATAGATACTTGAAAATGCCTAATATGGTAATGGGCGAATACAACGTTTGTTGAAAAAGGAGAATAACATTAGAAATAGAATTCTGAGGATCACTGTACAGAGTGAAGAACTGAGTCTGTTATTGTAAGTCACCAGCTAGCATTTTAAAAAAACTAAAGAAAATAAAAAGTGCTTCATACACATTCATTCGTTTGATCTCTAAGACAACCTGTGAGGTGAATATCATTGTCTCTAGTTTACAGATAAGGACACAGATTCTAGAATATATGTGGCTATACTTCAGAGAATAATTGCATTCAAGAGTAGAAGGTGACGGAAGTACCATTGAGTAGAATGGGAATATTTTGGTATATTGTGGGCAATATTGCTCATGTTTGTTGACATAGTAACAGGACAAAAATTCTAGAGCCAGAATTTCTAAGTTTCCATACTGGCTCTACCACTTACTACACTATAATCTTGAGTTCATAACTTAACCTTTGGCACATTCAGTTTCATAATATACTAAAATTAGGATAATAGTATAGTTACCTCATAGGGCTGCGATGAAGAGTGAAGTTAAATATATGTAAGGTGCCTGGAAGAGTGTCTGGCATATCTAAATGTTAGCTATTTTTGTCTTTGGCAAAAGATTCCAAAAATCAGTTGACACACAATATAATCTCATTTGGTTGGCAGAATTCAAAAAGCCTTTGATAGCTATTTATATTACAGTTGTACTCTATAGATTTGAGCAGGAATGGAGAAATACCGCCAGCCTGCAATAACATTAGAAATCCCACTTATCTCATTTGTGTTAAGCTTTGTTTCTTTGCTTACCCTGCACACAATTAGCCAATAAGGAATTTTTGCTCAGAATTCCGAAATAGGAAGTGTTCTCTTAAGTCTTATTTTGAAATGTTCATAGTGATTCCAATTGATTAATAGCATATAATAAATCATTCACAGAAGCACTAAAAATCTTCAGGAAAGGCATCAGTCATTTAATCCTTTTATGATGTTGTTGTTCCTCCTGTGGGAGAGTCAGAATTCACTAGAACTTTCGATTTTATTGATTATTGCCCAACTTTTGGCCCTTATCCTATCAGAAGTAAACATCTGGTGATTATAATTCACCATGTGAGTTGAGATGTTATTAAGGAAATCGAGTGCAACCGATGAGACTCCTGTGAGTGACAGGGTTAGCCTCAGTGCTATGAAATAATCCACTCTGGTCCCTGCATGGCAGCTGGGTAGCTGCTGCAATTACTGTCATTTTATGTCTGGAGAAACTTAGACAAGAAGGTTAAGGGCTTTCTTAAGGTCATATTGGAAATCAGTGGCATTCCAAGGAACAGAACTTAGAATACACTTAACCAGATCACCTCTTGAATAGTTTTAACTTTTTTTTTTTTAATGAGGATAGTGAATAATTTTCCATAATATACCAATGTACACTTCAATATTATTTATTAGATCCTGATTCATGGATTTATTACCTCTGAGACAAAGACCGTAAAAAGAGGTCCCAGTTGAATCTCCCTACATCTATTATTATTTGAAAGTTTAAACACTTTTTTTAATTGAAAATGGAAAGAATGGTAATGACCAGTAGTCAAGATGGAGAAAATTCATTTCGATTTTTGAGCTACCTTAATGGGTTAGTAGCTTATAATTTACTTAATGTGCTTGCATACTATTGATTTCAGACATAAGTGAGCTGTGTCTTCATTTATGTGCCTTGCTATATGCCAGCAGCAGTAAAAGTTGCTTTTCTTTTAGTAGGCCACATTGCCTGGGAAAGGAAATTACAAATGATTCAGATTCCAAGGAAGAGACACCTGTATAGCTCATCAATTAAAAGCCCATTCTCACTGCTTAATTTAATTCCTCAAATAAAATAATGCAAAAAATAAAAATTTTAAGTGCTAGATATGGGAATTTATTTTGACAATTTTCTTACTGAATAGGAAATAGCTATCATTTATTGAACATTCACTGTATGTCAAACATTATGCTAAGGAATTTAGAGGAAGCTTCAACTTGGAAAGCCTCATTGTTTATTTTCATGACTAGGTTAGAACTGAACCATGGATAATTAATGCTGAGATTTCACAGACACCAAGTTATTTTAGACCCTGAGTTAGTCTTATAATAAATAGATAATAAATGACAGATACTTGATATTGGTTTAATTTTCATTTTTTGTTGGATTTTCCATTGAACATTTTTGTAATTCCTTCGTTCATATATTTAAGCTTTTTTGCTCTTGTACACTATTGATTCAATAAAGTGTATTTCAACTATTTGAGCCTTTTGTCCAGAATATTTCAAAGCTTTTTTCCTTATTTCCCAGTATATGGATGTCTTAGGGACTAGTATCTGGAAATATATAGGCATTGTAGGTATCACATATTTGGTATGAATAATCTAATAAGTAAAATTTACTTAAATGATTTATCATTTTAACTACTTCCTCTGAGGCCCATGTACTCATTCTATTAGAACGTATGTGGATTTTTTTGGAGAATATGATTGCACAGGCTGTTGCATGAAATTTTATGGCCTTGATATTATCAAATCACTTTTTTTTTACTTCAAGATTCTTCATTTGACAAAAACTTATAAGTCCCAGGTGCTAATGCTGTGAATATGGTGGTTTAGATGGTTTTCTACCCTTCCCACATTTCAAATTGCAAGTGGAAGACGCAAGTTGCATCCTGTTCAAAATTTGACATGTCCAAAGAATAATACTAAGCCAACCCAGCAAGTTAACTGTGCATGGGAGAAGAGTACCTCAAAACTCAGGATGCTAATTAGTGAGGGCTTGCCTTAATAAACCCTGCCCATAACACTTTTACTCTTCCCTCAAAATAGTTTGCATACACATACACACTTGAATGTGTTCATATGTACAGAATACCCATATACACCCTTATGATTTATTTTATTTTATTTTATTTTTTAAGATTTTATTTGTTTATTTGACAGAGAGAGAGAGCACAAGCAGGGGGAGCAGCAGGCAGAGGGAGATCCCAGGGGCTCGATCCCAGGACCTTGGGATCATGACCTGAGCTGAAGGCAGCCACTTAACCGACTGAGCCACCCAGGCGCCCCTACAACCTTATGATTTTAAAATGTGCTTATCTAATACATATGATTTATAAATGTATACTACTATTGTTTACCAATATATATTCAGTGTTTGTGTAAGGATCTGTCTGAATGTATATACATACATGGATAAATCAACATTATAATGTCAATAGACATTTCCAGATAGTTTTGTTATACTTCTACTTTTTGAAGCATATTATTGGTACCATTAAATAAGGTATATGTTTTTCTAATATATGAGATGCATTATATTAAGCCTGAATTAATTTAAAATTGTATTGCATTAGAAATTTGAGAAGTCTCACATTTATATTAAGGAGTAGAATTAAGTATATCAGATACTAAATTATACATTGTTATTCTCAAATTTAACATTATAGTTCTAGAGAAAACATTTATAATTTAATAGATTTTTCATAGGAAAAATTAAGCCTAGAAAGTTTTGATTATATGATTTTAAAAAACCATGATATGTCTCTGTTTTTAAATGAACAAGTTTAAGAATATCCTGTAATGACCACTCCTTCCTAAAATGCTTTTTGACATAGTGGAATGATTATAAATCTACTTATCACATGTTTTAGGCTAAGATGACTCAATTGCCTGAGGCAGAAAAGGAAAAGATTGCTGAGCAAGTTGCTGATTTCAAGAAAGTAAAGAGTAAACTGGATGCTGAGATTGAGATATGGGATGATACCAGCAATGATATCATTGTTCTGGCCAAGAAGATGTGTATGATTATGATGGAGATGACAGACTTCACAAGGTAATTATGTGCAAAATGATGCATAACATTTATAATGGGTAGAAACATTTGTCACAGTAATGAAACCTAAGTTTCTCTAAGTAGCAGATGCTAAAAACTAAACGGTGGGAGAAACACAAATAATATAGAATTAGAAAGCTGTAGGTGTGTAATTCTAGAGGTTTTGGTAAATAAATATGGCAAAGTTTCTCATAAATGGCCAAAAAATGATTTTAGAAATCTCCTTTATACCCTGTCACCTTAGGAATCTTTTTTGTTTCATATTAGCATATTATTTTACAAAGAAATTGATAAGTCAAATTATGATTTTGGTTGGAACTATCTGAATACTTGATTTCCATAGCTACATAATTTTAGTTGTAATGATTTATGTGTCATCAAGGTTCATATCTTTTGCTACTGAGCTCTCAACCAAATATATTTTGAATCACAGTGACTTAATGATATACATGAAAGAATCATACATTATGTGTAAATTCCAGAAACAATAAAATGTTTATTATAGCTTCAAAATATTATCTTATAGAGCTAGCCAAAGAGCAGTACAATAATATAGTTCTTGCCCTATCAGTTACTAAAATATACAAAACTACAATAATTAAGGTAATTTAGTGTTGGTATAATTTTAAAAGACACAGAGCAGAAGAATACTCTGAAGCAGACCTGGTAGACTTAGAAAAACATTCTTTTATATCACCATACATTATACACAAATATAAATTTTAGGTTGAGTAATAAATGTAAGTTTAAAATCATAACAAGTGGAAAAATGTACACAAATCTTTTCTTTATATTAAGATTGAGAAAGGCTTTCTAAGCATTGGAGAAAAAGGAAGAACTTATAAAAAAGGATTATTAAAGTGAACTACATTAAAAATTAAGTTCTGTAGATCAATAGAATATCCTAAACAATATCAAAATGTAAATGGATAATTGGGTAAACATTTGTAATAAAAATAACAAAAACATGATGTCATTTATATGTAAAGAATACCTAAAGACATTATGAAGAATAAAAAAACAAATATCCTAGAATGGACAAAAGACATGAGCAGATAATTCATCAATTTCTTCCCATAAAACTATGATCCATAAATCTGTGAATAATATTAAACCTAAAATAATTTAAAATAAAGTAACTTTTAAATTTATAAAATCAGACAAACTTTTAAGATAGGTTTGTTATAGGAAGGTATCGTGATGAATATTCATTGCAGCATTATTCCCAATAGCCAAGATATGGAAACAATGTTGGTGTTCCTCAAAAGAAGAATGAATAAAGAAAATGTTGTGTGTATATATATATATGTATATATATGATGGAATATTTTTTATGTGGAATCTTTTTTTTTTTTTTTTTTTGGCTGGGTGATAGACATTGGGGAGGGTATGTGCTATGGTGAGAGCTGTGAATTGTGTTAAGACTGATGAATCACAGACCTGTACCTCTGAAACAAATTTTATGTGGAATCTTAAAAAGAAATCAAAATCATAGAAACAGAGTAGAATGGTGGGGAATGAGGGGTAGAGGAAATGGGGAGATGTTGGTCAAAGAGCACACACTTTCAGTTATAAAATGAATAAGCTTTGAGTATCTAAAATATAGTATGGTGACTATTGTTAATACTGTATTGTATATTTGAAATTGGCTGAGAGTAAATCTTAAGCATTCTCATGCACACATACAAAAAAGATAACTATGTAAACTGATGGATGTATTAATTCACTTGATTGTGGTAATCATTTCATGATATAAAAATATATCAAATCCCCACCCTGTACACTTTAAATATATTACAGTTGTATTTTTCAATTATGCCTCAATAAAGCTGGGGGGGGAAAGAAGATAATCAAAACAATTCAACTGATGAGACCCTTATGTCTAAAAAAACAAATACAAAACAGAAAAATAAAACTGTAATGCAACACACCAAATTGAAATAAATTTCAAAAAATACCATATGATGCAGTAATTTCACTACTGGGTATTTACCCAAAGAAAATGAAAACACTAATTCAAAAAGATATATGTACCCCAGTGTTTATTGCAGCATTATTTACAATAGCCAAGATAGGAGACAACTCAAGTGTCTATTCATAGATGAATGGATAAGAAGATGTGGTATATATGCACAATGGAAAATTGCACAGCTATAAAAAAAAAGAATAAGATCTTGCCATTTTCAACAACATGGATGGACCTAGATGGTATTTATGCTAAGTAAAATAGATTGAGAAAGACAAGATACCATATGATTTTACTCATATGTGGAATCTAAAAACCAAAACAAATAAAGAAACAAAAAGCAAAATCAGACTTATAAATACATAGAACAAACTGATGGTTGCTGGTAGAAAGGGAGTGGAGAGATGGGCAAAATTGGTGAAGGGGAGTGCGAGATACAGGCTTCCAGTTACGGAATGAATAAGTCATGGGAATGAAAGGCACAGCATAGGAGATACAGTCAATGGTATTGTAATAGTGTTGTATGGTAATGGGTGGTAGCTAAGTGAGCATAGAGAAATGTATAGAGAAGTTCAGTTACCATGCTGTATGCCTGAAGCTAATTTTGTGCCAACTATATTCAAATAATAAAAAGTTGGAGATGTTTATTTTTAAAATCCGGACTCAAAATCAAAAACTAAGGAATGAAAAAAATAAAAAAAGAGATGAGGAATGTAACAAGTTCATCAAAATTGAAGAATAAAAAATTTCAAAAATCACAAATTATAAATCCAAAGGAAAATAGATTCAAATAAAAATTCCATAAGGAGCTTTGAGAACAAGCAGGAGATTAACTAAGAGACAGTGATGAGATAAAAATAAAGAAAGAAGAAAAGAGAAAAAAAGACCTTGAAAGAGAGAGGAGGCAAAGAGGCTCCAGTACACATATCCTCGGACCCTTTGGAGAATAATTTAAGAAATAATAAAACAACCAATATTTAAAAGTATAAATAAAAAATATTCTCATATGTAAGACTAAATTTAAATTTATGTATTGAAAGGTGTTACCATATACCGAGGAATTTCGCCCAGACAACAATAAACATACACATATTTTCCTTATATATAAAAAATATTAATATATTATACCTATTATAAATAACACCCACTATGTGTATGTATACATACACATATATATGAAAGGGAGAAGAGACAGCAAAGTGAAACTAACTAAATTGTAACAATTTATGAAAAGCAATCCTTACCTCCACAAAGGAGAAGCAGGTATTTTAACCTTGTATGATTTCATTTCTTGTGATTATCTCCATACCTCTAAGCAATATACTTTCTTCTCTAAGATATAATTTATTGGTTTTTCCTACAAATGAGAATTTAGATAACTTATAAGACTGTTCATCTTCTTTTCTCCCTCTCCTTTCCTTAGTTTGATGAATTTATATATTTTCATTGTTTATATTTACAGTCCTTGATAATATTATTTTATTCATAACTGTTTTTTTGTTATTATGTGTAAGTTATATCTCAACTTCCAACTATGTATGATGAAGAGATTCCTACTTTCACTCTTCTGCCTCCAACTGCTCCGTTCTGTATCTCATTCATAACCCAACTTCTTTCCACTACATCTTTTACATTAAGATAGGCAATATTTACATTCTTTTCAACAATTAAATCCCCCATGCTTATGTTATAGGTTGATTCTGAAAATAAGGATTAATAAATAATATTTTATTATGGCACTGATACAATTAACCTCAATAGGAAACATGCATGAAAGAAACATTTCCTGTAAAGAATTGAATTATAGTTTAGACATGGTTTAAAGTGTCCATAGATTTATATGGAAAACAGCACATTATGGAAAGAAATCTAAACTAAGAGCTGTTTTAATATCAGCTGATAAGTAGGGCAATGAGAAGTCTCTTAATTCTGTAATGTAAATATTTGGATATATATATATATTTATAGGCAGAATGTGGAACTAGAAGGATAAACAATGAAGGACAAAGCCACGAGAAGCAAAATTCCAAGAAGTGGGCAGAGGAAATAGAATTCCATAAAAACAGAGCACTCAAGTGATTATAAGAACATTTGTAACATGAGAAGAAAGATTCTGGGCCATAGTTAAGGGAGTTTCAGTGAATGATCAATGAGTTGTTTTATTTGAGGAAATTTTAGTTAAAATGATGATTGAAGGGGCACCTGCGTGGCTCAGTTGGTTAAGCGTTTGCCTTTGATTCAGGTCATGATCCCAGGGTCCTGGATCAGCCCCATGGGCGGGGGGGCTCCCTGCTCAGAGGGGAGTCTGCTTCTCCCTCTCCCTCTCCCCCCCACATTGTGCTCTCTCTCTCTCTCACACAAATAAAATCTTTAAAAAAAATGAAGATTGAAAAGATAGTGTAATTTTGGCAGTTCTCAATTTGTGGGTACTTTTGTTTGAGTAGCTTCACTAAATGGCGAAAGAGAAAAACAGTCGTTAAAAGAGGTAGATGGGAGACTAGCTGATAAGAAAATAAAAATAACATAGTATCTTAAAGGAAGCACAGTCAAGACAGATTTTGAAATATCTGAAGGGAGAGAGGAAATGGGAAGGGATAGAATGAAATTGTAGAAGGGGAATAAAAAGCTATAGCCAAAAAATGAGATAAAGAAGTAGAGCATAAACACTGAGAAATAGGGAAACAAACAAACAAACAAACAAAAATGATATGAAGGTAAGTCTTCACGATTTTAAATGGCTGTTCCTTCTTGTCTTAGCTAGAATGTTCCATCATAAAATCCTTTCTTGGTCATCCAGTGTAGCCTTCCTCCCCAACCCGTCTCTCTATATTACAAGATCCTGTTAACTTTCTTTTTAGCAGTTACCACATACTGGATTATCTAGCCCATTTATTTATATATTCCCTGCCTCTATATCCCTAACAGACTATAAAATGTATGAAAGTATGAAATTTGACTTTATTGTTTTATATCCAGAACTTATAACAACCTAAACAGTATATGTATACAAAGTAGCCGTATATACTATAGTATG